CTACTACTACTACCACTACCACGACGACGACGACGACGACTATTACTACTACTACTACTACGACGGTGACTGCGACAGCCAACACTACAGTAAAACGGTGAGTCTATCAAACATCGACACTTACTAAACCGGAGTCTATGTCTGCACTTGGCAGGACAATCCTTTCGTCCGTCAAAAGCTGTTGGAGTACGTGCAGTACCTCGTAAGGGAGTATGACGTTGATGCATTTCGCCTTGACACTGCGATCTATATGCCCAAGGACTTCTTGCCGCTGGCATTGAATTGGAAACGGTCCTCTGGTGTAGCTTGAGTAAACGGGCACCGCCGGCTGTGATGCTTGTTGCTCCTACGGACATCAGTGACCGTTGAAGTTGTAATGCCAAGGAAGGAGCTGCAAGATGCTGCTGGGGTTGATATCTACGGTGAGACGACAGTGAACAACATCAGTTGCCCGATGGATGTATGAGCTGGACGAAGTGCAAAGGACCCCGTTCGACCGTTTGTCCCCAATGCCGCTGCAACTCATTACTCTCGCCAGAACGTTCTGAACAGCATCCCACAGTCAGGGTGGAATCTTCAACAGCCGGTCAGATCCGTGCAGGTTGACAATGGCGAAGTGGTGAAATTCAGATACCGAACCGCCAGACTAACTAAAGGCCGCCCGAATGTAGTGCCTGTCTTTCGCGACCGTTGTGAGGGCCAGCGGAGGTAGTGGGAAGAGGCCACCATGAATAACGAGTACCACAATGAGAGCCAAATGAATTGAAGCAGTTAAGTAATATCAGCAGAACTGCAAGCAACAACCCTGCAGATTGCTGCATCGAACCGCCCCGGGTCTGCTTACGCTTAAATCCCTGGCTTCCTGCCGAAAACCTAGCCCAGACAAGGCTGCGTATTTAGAGATGTAGCTAGGCCCAGCTAGGCATGGTAGAGGACGACCAAAGGCTAGCCTCCTTCTGGCAAGTCGGTCCTGCAGCCGACCGTGACGTGAACCCATGAGCCGCCCCGGCAACGCACTTGGGCATCTGCCCTGCGCCGAGCGCTGACCTGAGGTTACCATGCAGGCTTCCAGGACGTATTGACAGGGCTGCTGAATTTCCCGGCGTTCTACCAGGCTGGGCTAGACCTGCACCGGCTCATTCGTGGAAGCGGGCTGCCAAAGCCGACCCAAAGCCCACCCTGCAGGTACATGCGAGTTTCTGCCAGTACCACTTGGGAGGAGATTTGGGAAACTACCACCTGCAAGGAGCCTTCACGCCTGAGCTTCCAGACTTGAGGACAATGGCTGCAAGCAGATAGACCGCAAAAGTGGAGAGCATGGCAGGGCAAAACGCCGAGTGTGTATCACTCATTCGATGGCAGACCATGTCAGAAACCTTATCTATTTTTACGGCTAGGCATTTGCTGAACTGCCCCATGATGGCGCAGGAAATTGTATGACATCTTGGAACATCAATCGAAGCCGGGCCTCTACAAGGACCTGGACTTGCTCGGAAACTTTGCCGACAATCACGATGAGTTTGCGCGAGTCACGTACTACTGCCGGGCACTTATGCCTGGAATGACTGCTTGAGAGCAATTCGCAGAGCTCCAGCTCCCTGCTGTCAACGAGGTGATCATGATTCTTTTCGGATCAGGAATATACTGGCGTACGTGTTCTTGGCACGCGGCACACCCATTATCTATTATGGCACTGAGCAGAGCTTAACCGGACACCAGGCCAATGTCCTGGAGATGCTCGGCTTTTCGCATCGCGACATTCCTCGATCGAAAGGGCCAGACTTGCAACATTGGTGTGCAACTGAGGAGAGTTGCCCTGGAAAAGGATGGGCAAATGAACAAGGGCCAGGCGTATGTCCGAGAATCAATGTGGCAAACTCGGCGACCTGGCCTGGCAAAGTTGTACAAAACTGAGTCAAGCAGTTGACAGTTGAGAACAGGTACAACACCTCAACTTGGCAATACGCGTACATCAAGCAGCTGTAACCTGGCAGCGTGTTACAGGGACGGGCTTTCTCAGCACTGGGCCTGCTTGCGTTCGGAGACTGACTTCTTGCCAGTTTTTGTCGTGGTATTTGTAGGGTATCATGAGGGCACTTGTTGCGTGTTGCACGAGGTGTGACATGTTCGAGCATGAACTCTGTGCGCATCCGCAGTTTGCGTGCTCGAGCTTGAGCCTACGCAACGAGCGTCCCTGCTTTTCAAAACACCCGCCCTCCGCCCGAACTGGTGGGGTGGCAGGTAAGGCCTTCCGCAGGTGCTCTGTTACTAATTAGGCGGAAGAGACCTAACCTGACCGCCGCCTGCCAGTGTCCTGCCAAAAGTGAGGGCTTGTGCGTGCTGACTGTAAGTCTCTAGAGTGTGCAGAGCGTTAAGCTCGATGTCGGGTCTTTACGCCGGTGTGTGGGGTATGCATGCTCATGCATATTGCCAGACATGCCCCAATAAACCAATGAATCCAGAAGTCAAGAGGCAAAAGGTTTCAAAAAACATCAACATCTTGATTTCATTATTCCCTCTAGACTTATGGTGTACAATCCTAGTACAGAGGCCCCTATGTTATTTTATCCAAATGCGCCAAACAAGCTGCCAGGGTTCTGTCGGTAAATGCAACGCAAAACAGAATGTAATTCAGAATGTTAAAAACAAGCAAAGCAAAAAGCAAATGCAAATCACATTGTAATTGACAATGAGGAAAAAAGAAAATCGAAATGTAAATGTAAATCAAAATCAACATGCGCAAAAATAGTTAATAAAATAGAAATGTGAGCAAAATGCGAGCACATGCATCACATTCTTTTCTCATTGTGTATCACATTTTTGTCATATTGTTTTCACATTTGTAAGTGCCTTTATATTGGTAATTGCATTTTTTGTTGCTTTGGTTTTGCATTTCTTCAAGGCTTTTGCATTTGTGTTGCATTTTCTGCGCATTTTGCATTTTTTGTCACATGTTTCGCATGTTTCCACATTTTCCCCTGCATTTTGGTTACATTCGCAGGGCCAGCAGGTGGTGCTGGGGCCGGCCTGCGGGGGCGGCCCCGCCCCGCAGGCCCCGCTCCGCAGGCCGCAGTTTCTATGTAAGTTACAAGGAATCGCATTCTTCTCACATTTCTTTGCATTTTACCTAGAGCTTTCTACACATTATGAAATGAGCCCAATGATTTCTGGTGAGCCACATGTTTTTCGCATTTTGGATCACATTTGCCGGTCCAGGTACAAGTTTCTGCGACCTCCAAGTTACATCGTTTGGACGCAGATAGTACATTTGCATGAATCCAGGAATATAGAGCTGTAGTAGGTTTCGCACACCATAACTCTCGACCTATTTTGAGCATTCCTGAGACATCTGTTACACGAAATGTTTTCAATCCCAGACCCTAAGTCAAAAATGACCCACGTTGTACTTCATTCCACACTTGATTTATGGAGCCATTTCTTGTGGCATCTTTGGTGGAATATCAGGGGGCTCGTTTGGTAGGCCCCCTGCACACAACTCGCTCCACAAGCAGGCCGCACTGGCAATCCTCAGACCCAACCAAGCCTGGAATCAACCTTGAATGACTTTTATGATCCCTCTGGGAGCTTTGGCTTCGCATGCGTTGTGACCTGACGTTCGTAGAAGGAAGGCTTGTGCAATCTTGCACAGAAAAACGTAGTTCTCCAATACCCAACATTTAAGCTTTTCTGGGTTCTTATAACTTAGTGGTAATCTGAAAGTTTAACCTTTCATTTCCTGGGCTTACTGGGGTAGTAAGAGAACAAAAAGGCCCTGATATGCGGACCGCTGGGCGGTCTTGGGAGGCTATAAAATGCAGATGTGATGGTTTTCTAGCGTGCCGGCTGTTGGAGAGAATGATATTCGATTTAGCTGTATTCAGGCTTGTGTCTGGGACTAGCTTGGGTGTGCTTTTGAAACAATAAATTCCTCATTTTATGGTGCTATCTTGGTAGCCGACGATGCCGTGTGCAGACCGTTTCGCAATGTTCATGAGCCAATGAAATCAGAAGTTAGTTTTGCTGGGGCTTCGGGGTATTTCGGGGTGGCGAAAGCGGCACGTGACTCCAGATTTGTTCTTGAACTCTTGGCTTCGTTGCCTTGCATGATTTAATGGGTGTTGTAGTTATGCATATTCATTTATGCGTATTTATGAGACGATTGCTCACGCAGCCTGCGAAGGAATGATTTGCGCAAGAAATTTGGCTTCTCCGATGGGGAACAGGACAAGCGGGCGTCATGAGTGCAGGGGGGACCCATCGAAAACTCGTAGACTCCAAATCACACGCTTTTTGTGGTGACCGTGGTGAAACCTTAGGCTGCTGACGCAAGCTCTCGAATGTCGGCCAGTGCAAGGAAAAGCTCCCTGTTGGCACCACTCCATGTTTGTATATATATATATATGTATGGTAGGTTCCGTTATCTCCCGTTCTGGTGTGCTTTCAGATTCGCCCCCGCCCTGCTCCTTCTTCAGCTCACATGAGCTGTCCTTTAACTTTGCTGGTTTTTCAGCTTGAGAGCCGCTCTTCGAGCAAGCTTGGAGTTTGGTGCAGGAGTTGGTCAGCGTCTGGTACAACCACCTGATCTTGAAGCGGTGGCCCACCAATGGAGGCTGGCCCATGACTTGCGGTTGACTTGTTAGCTGCCGGGTGGCCAAACGAGGTGCATCGAGGTGCCATGCCGTCTACAAGTTAAAACAGGCTGATGCGGCAGTAGTTTGGGGCATTTTGGGCATGACTCGCCGATACATAAGTTTCAGGTGTCGGGCAGACGATAAAGGAACCACGGAACTGTGACGAGCTCTTAACGGAGAACACCTTCCGGCCCACGGCTGGCTTGTTTTGTCAGGCCGCGAAGTGACAGTAAACCGTCAGGCAACGCAGCGCTCCGCACTGCCCGGCCTGCGCTAAGTTACGAAGCTGTATTGTGCCGGATTCGCACGTTGCAACCTGCTCGGCACTGCCCAGACCGCCAGTGCAGCACCAGTCGACAGGGCTGGTGAGCTTCGGACCCTGGGGTCCCCAAGCTGTTAATCTAAGGGCTTTAGGAGGGACCCTTAATACCCTTGTAGGTTAGTGGGGTTAATATTGGAGACTACCTGGCTATATACGGGGTATATAAGGACTATACAATGGTTATTTAAAGTCCTTCTAGTTAATGCGGGACGAGTCCAACAACGTCTTCAAAAGGTACTCAGGTACGTTCTATTGGGTTTTGCACCCAGGCCACCGCAAAGCTCAAGCGTCCGAACCGCCTGAACCACGATGCCATGAATCTGAATCTGCCACTGGGGATGGGGGATCCTTCTCTCATTTGTTCAAGCTGTACGGCAGCTTGAACATTCGAAGGAGAAATTGTCGGAGAACGGCTGTGCTACGAAAGCGAGTTTAGCTCCCCGCTTCATTGTCAGGCCCTGCCCCTTTCTAGGACAACTTTGTATGCGCTTGCTGCGCAAGCTGGCCGCTCCATCCTCCCACAACTGTTTGCAGCTCCATGCCTTGTCGTTGGTCCGTGTCAGCTCCGTGCGAGGCGAGCATCCAGTATGGATTTTCTTGAATAACAATCAGAACTGGACGGCAGCTGCTTGGTCATGCAGTTAGTTGCAGGTTTGCGGGCGAATTTGTCAGACGGTTAAGCTGCCGTCCGCGCGCGAGGATTCACCGGTTCTATATTGTCCGGCACCGTGGGAAGAGGAATCCTGGTATGATGCCTTCTCTGGCCTTCGCGCGTTCCTTCGAAGCCAAGCCGCATTGGGAGCAAACCTGCACAAAGAGCGTTTTCGCTAGTCACGCCAACGACTCGCCATATTGTGTGGGTTGTACGTTGGAACTCAGCGGTCCAACTGCCGGACTGGGCGATCCAATCATGCTTTCATATTGAAGCAGGGCGTCGAAAGGGCCAAATCGCCTCTAGAGATCAGTTCTGGTATCCGGTTTCGCCTCTTTGTATCGGCTGCAGGTGAAGGCTGCTACATGGCAGAAGACAGCAGACCCAAGCTGCTTGTTCGAGGATTCTCGCTTGCAAAAGCTCGTTGTCAAGCAGGCAAGTCTTCGGTCAAGGCATTACCTTGAGAATGCACTCGTGTCCGAGCGTCCTTCGTTGCAGAGTGCGCCGGCAAAACCCATCCAGGTTTGTAGCTGCGCACACGTACACAAACACCCGCCCGCCCACACACACATTTGCAGACGAGTCATCCTTGCTTAGATGGATGCTGTTTGTAATCCCTGCCAGCTACATTCTTCGAATGACCAGTCATCCTTACTTAGATGCTGTTTGCGCTAGATTGTTACAGCGCAGGTACGTTTGCACGGCTAACTGGATGGGTCTCCGCTGGCCCAGGCCATCCAGTTGCCCCTGCGCCCCCTGCTTTTTATTGCTTCGATCTTACGTCTTAAATCCTCCGGTACAGGAGGTGCGCACACACACAAACCACCGGACAAGCCGGTAAGGTTGAAAGTGTACTATTGGATTACGCAAGTACATTGCGCACTCCCTTGCAGGCACAATGCGCACTCCCTTGCAAACGCTCGAATGGTAGCAACAAAACACAATATCTACCCGTGCAACAAAAACGACGACGAGCCAGCAGCAACACGACAGCAACGCGACGACGACGACGACTGACCGAAAAAACAGCCAACACCGCAACCCCTACACACGCAACAGAAGCGACGACGAACAAACGGTAGCAACAGCAACACGACGACGACTGACCGAAGAAAACAAACGCAACAACGCAACAAGCTGAAAGCGGAGGCGAAGGTCTAGCATCTTCTCGATACCCTTTTTCGCGTTCTTTGGCAGAACTGCTGTCGGAAACACACTTGCAGACCAGTCATCCTTGCTTAGATGGATGCTGTTTGTAATCCCTGCCAGCTACATTCTTCGAATGACCAGTCATCCGTACTTAGATGCTGTTTGCGCTAGATTGTTACAGCGCAAGTATTTTTGCACGGCTAACTGGATGGGTCTCCGCTGGCCCAGGCCATCCAGTTGTCCCTGCGCCCCCCTGCTTTTTATTGGTTCGATCTTATGTCTTAAATCCTCCGGTACAGGAGGTGCGCACACACATACACAGAACACTTGCCGATGCTGCCTAAGGCTTAGGCGCTAACACGAGAATAAGTTGGCGAAACTAGAAGCTGCAATCTGTTTCGTAGACTTGTCGAGAAAAGCCCTGCACTGGTCTGCTATGCACATTGAGGTCGGTTGTCTCCATGAGCCTGCAAATTGCCCGTCTTCTGTCTTGCCGTCGGCCCAGGAGAAAGAGGTCCTTTTGTGAAGGGTGTGGAGACGCTGAGCGAGCCCAAGCACGTCTGGATGCTGTGGATAGTCATCCTCTTGCCACTCAGCTCGACCTGCTTGAAGTCGATCACGAAAGGTAGCCAGCAGTCAGCAGCCGTAGTGAATTCGGAAGCGAGGCGGGAGAACAGCATATCACATGTACCGTATGCACCTGCTTCCGACTGTTGTGGTGCGAAGTTCGTTTGGTACTCACTCGTTCTGCAAGCCGCTCAGTGCCGTTGTTTTTGGCGTATCGTCTCTGTACCCGGCCCTTCATTGGGCTGGTTGCCTTGCTGGGGTGCTCGGCTTTGTCTCAATTACCCAGCGGGCTGTTGGCTTTCTGTGGTGGCTTGCATTTCTCGCAAACGTGCTTGCAAGAGGGCATAAGAGCGCTTTTTGTAGTTGAGCTCGGGGCACTTGCCAGCTGCTTGTGGCGCGTGGTGCGCCGCGACTCCGACCATCCATTCTTTTGCTCGCCTGTTTTCCTTGTGTGGCTTCTTCCAGTCTTCCAGTTGCATGATCATGAGTTGCCGTGGAAGGCTTGGTGCAGAAGCTCGGCATTGATTCTTTTGACCATACTTGGCTGCTCGAGTTGCCACTGCATTAGGCCGAGAGCCGTGTCTCGCAGCCGGGTTTCAGGGTCGCTTGCGGAAGTTTTGCCTTGGTGCTGGGCTGGATCTGGCCTATGTGAGGTCATGTTGTTTTTCTGTGTTGTGTGCAGTGTGTAAGAGTGGTGTTTTTTCTGTTTGATGTTGCTGGCCTGATCCCCGGCTGATGGTTTTGACTGTGTTGGTGCTTCAGTCTTGTCTGTGCGGCATCGTGGCCTGCAGTCCTGCAGGGCGTGTTTCGCAGGCTTGTTGTGTTTATTGCTTCATGTTGTGTCCGGGCGTGTCTTGTTTTACGCATATATTGTCACTGTAGTTGCCACTTTTGCAGGCTTGCCTGCGACACCTTGGCAAGACGAAGATGTCGCCGCTTTGGTCTTGCCGGATTGTTTGGGGCATCGTTGCACCGGTGACGATTCTGGGGCCGTTGCTGTCCGTCGCGTGGCCACCGAGTTGTCCTTACGTGATACTCACCGCCTGTTTTAACCTGTTTTTGTCCATAGTTAATAGGATAGCTGTGTGTACGAGTGGTCGTGTTGACTTTCCGGTGATTCCCTCTTTCTTGTCAGCTCAGCTTCCGGGCTTCGTGTCGGCATGGCTGAAAAAGGCCGCCCTCCCTGCTTATTGTTGGATTATGTCCGTTTGTGGCGTATTGCGCTGAACAACACCAGCATTGACGAGTGGGTCGGAGGATGCAACATTTCAATGTTTCAATGTCGTTTCTTGGCATTGAGGAACGAGCTTTGCCAGGTTGGTTCAGCACAGGCTTAGATTTTATGCCGACGCACACGTACTCAATCTCTCCATCAAACTGATTAGACAGCCGCTTGCCTACCAGTTCGCCACATGGCATACAAAGAGCACTGCATCATTCGCATTCGCTCACCAGCATCAGCTCGCGTTTGCAATGCATTGCTGCCCTTCCACTGTCCGCTCTGCATTCAAGCCTTTCGACGCTTGCAGCACTTGAATATGCATGAATGTGCCTGGCAAGTCATTATGGCATGCCCGACACAAGACATCCATCCGCAAACTGCGCATGCAGGGGCAAGAAGCTGCGGTAGGCATCGAGGGCTTCTGCATCGTCTAGCTACCGGGATGTCAGACCAGCCCTGATCATGCGGAGCTGAGGCTGTGCCTGACCAACGGGTTCCTGTTTTGGAGATGCAGGCGCAATGCCAAGGTTCGGAATGGCGACGATTACGAGAGCTACGACGTCGCTGTGGCAAGAACATGTCAGGCTAAGTTACGTGACTACTTATGGTCATCGAGTGTAGCTCGGGACCGCTGTTCAGCCTTGTGCATGTGAGAGTGGCAACATTGGCGGTGGCATGATCCGCTTTGAACATCGTTGAAGTGCCGAGATGCAAGTTTGTCTTTCGAGCTTCAGATTCGCAGAAACAGTACTAAAGTTTACTAAAGCATGGATCGACACAGGCCGCAAACATCTGCTGGGGCGCTGCATTTAAATGTTAATGGCCAGCCCAAGGAGTCTGATGAAGAGAATCTCTGCTGGAAGGAGTGACGAATGAGCGACGCAGAAAGCACGACATCTGGAGCACCAACATCCTGCCCAATAATTTTCCTGGCAGGCGTGGATGTGCTTTGGCTCATCTGCAGTGTGCGATCTGGCCAAATTTATACGCACCCGGACTGCCTCCTTCCATTCATGAGAATGTAACTTAAGCCATAAAGATCACTCAGAAGCGAATGGGCTGCTGTTGCAAACAACAATTGGAATGACAGAAGGTGGTTCGTCCACACAGATCTCACCGTGTTTCATGTTGTGCGTGGTCGATGGCCAATTATTGTTTAATCCCTTTTTCGCACAGTGGTGCAGTTGTCAACGCCAAGTTTGCACAGCTCGTGTGCAGCCAATGATGAACAGAAGCAATGCGTGATAGGGTTTTCCTTTGTTGTTTTGCTGAAGCTACATGCTGGCTGCACCAGGGACAAAATGAACGGAGGCCTTGTTGAAGCGTTTGATAAGACATATGGGTTACGAGGAGGCAGCGAATTACTTTGCACACTGCTGCCGGTCTTTAAGGACATTCCCAATCGGCCCGCGCCTTGCGGGTGTCGGTGTGGCAAAGCTGGTGCATAGGTTGAGAGAGAGGAGCCCTGAGCCGGTTTGAAATCCCTTCAAGGCTAAAGTCCAAGTTCTTCCTCTTCAACATGGCTTGACGCTTGAGGGTTGGGGCGTTGCCCATATGAAATGGCCTCATCAAAAAGCTTTTTTCAAGGTCTTGCCATCCACCGTGAGCGGCTGCCTTTGTACATTCGGTCAGTGTCAGTCGGGAACGAGCAGAATGCAGTCGTCGCGCCCAGGTGCCGACAACATCTACGGAAGCATCCTTCGTGCACGCCGTCACCCCAGCGACAGGAGGATATAGAAGCACCTGAGAGCGAGACACCAGCTGTGAAAGCATTGAGGCTTCAATGTGAAGCAAGGCACCAGCGCAGGCCTTCTTACCATGAACCAGGTCTGCTTGAGTCGGTCTGCGAGAACGGCGAACCAGATGGGCACAGTTGAGTGCTGGACGTGTGTAGCCCCGCTTGCAGGCTCACGCTTGTCTGGTTTCTAGTTCTTAGGAATTCGGACTAATTCGGAGCTTCCTGACTGTGTCGTGGCACTGCGTGGCATCTTTATTGCTTCAGCGCGTCAACGGATCCGAATTGCCAAATCGAAGTTTCATCCGCATCCAAGCATAGCAGCTGTCGTGCAGGCATTTTGTCGCTGACCCGCAACGTCACGGCTGCAACCATTTCTGTGTGGACCAAGGCCGTTGAGGGAAGTTGCTGATCATTTCGCTTCCAGCTCATAGATTTCAACATGCGACAAGCGGCAGCCGTGACTGCATCGCTGCTTCTCGACAACGGCATGTGGCAAAGCATCTTGCAATCACAAGAGTGAGGCTGGTGCTCTTTGTGCCTTCTTTCTGCTCATGAGCTCCAATCTTCCAGCTATTTAACATACAGCCAATTTTACGACCCCGACGCTCCCCTCTCCAAGTCAATATCCCATCGGGTGGGTGGTCGGGCCAAAGCGCTTGAGGGCATCTCACGTGACCCCTAAGCCCGAAGAACAGCAAGCAACAAGACAGACGGAGACAGAGAGGTATTCAAGTTTAGCGCTGCTTTTTGCTTGTATGGAAGAACAAGGTTTTAAATTTTATAGCTTGCTCGCTCACACCCAGCATGACAGGTCCAAAAAGTTCTTTTGCCAACACCTTCCAGGCAGGATGTCACAACTTCGGCCTTGAATAGCTTCAGTCCAGATATCAAGCCCGGAAGGTTCCACTACATCTTCAACCTGCGAGAGCTCAGTCGCGTGTTCCAGGCAGCTATAACTATCGATTGAATCATGGCATCCACCCAGACCTTTCGTTCTTGGCCGTGCAAGTATGGGTTTCTCACCGAAGTGCCAATTGCCACAGCATTCCTTGACGTAATTGTAGGCATGATTGTCTAGGCTCTGGGCAGACGATAACGAATCGACCGCTTGTTCATACAATTTGAATCGACGCATGCTGATGCTAACTGAAAAAGTGGCCGGTGGTGTGCACGTGTTCGATGTCTGACCTAAAACATACTGTAGTATAAGAAGCCTGTATCGCATCATGTGTTGATAGCAGCAGCTACATGCGATGTTCGAGCAGGGTGTCTCCCGGAGCATGGACGTTGCTTCGCTCATTTTTTGCACGAGAACCAAATAAGCGGTTGACGAAAAACTGCGACGCAGCAAAGGCCTGGACTCTCTAGTAGGTTCGGACTTGCAAGTCTTCAATGGTCGGGCTTTTGTGCTGTGTTCATGGCGTGCTTTTCGGAAACTCACCGCTGCAGTTTCAGTGTTGAGTGCATCGTCACGAGGGCATCTTGGAGACCCCGCAGACCGTGGCCCGCACCCTGAGCTGCGAGGTTTGTTGTTTCCCTGACCCCTGCTTGCTGGAACTGTTCCGATAGTTGCCACGACCTCAGATCGTGGACGAGGAGAAGTTTGTGTCTCTGTGGAGGCCAGAGAGCGTGTAAGAGCGCACCAGGCATTTCGCTGTCAGCATTTTCCGAGCAGTGCCGGAATCTAAAGGTAAGTCTTGTCCTTGAGTCTATCTAGTCAACATGTCGAATGTCTGCAGCATGGCTGGCATGACCAATCTGCTATCTCAGCACAGGCTTTGCTCAGGTTGCAGGCACAAGGAAAGAGACAATGAATCATTCTTATACCGCGAACGATGCGACAGCCATTTGCAGGCACGAGTGCACCCGCGTTTTTGCGGACAAGCTTTCTCGCGAGAAGGACTGATTTCACAGCTGCCATAGTTGTCGGCCGGGTGCCGGAGGCTTCGACAAACAGGCTAGGCTCGGCTACCGCAGGAGCAGCCGAGAAGTAATGTCACCCCCCAAGTCAAGCCACAAGTCTTGCGTGGACAAGGATAAGGCGCAGGTTGACAAGATAGTCCACGAGTTTGCCGCCGTTACCTCAGCAGTTGCGCGACAAGCATGTGCCGGAGACAAGTCGGCAGAGAAGTACCCCGAGCCGAAAGCCAGGCTGAGCACTTTGGAGAGTCTCTGGCCAGCAGCACTGCCGAGAGCCGAGAGACATTCACATGCTTGGGCTTCCAGGCTTCTGGGACTTGTGGTGGTCTTATTGTATGCGCGAGGCCCCGACCCAGTGGTGGTGTGACTTCCAACGCGGCGGCCTCAGCCAACTCCCAAAAGCGTTCCTATTCCATGCACCGCTCTGCTACTTCTGGTGCTAGTAGCGGTATCTTAATATGTCTTAAAGCAGTCGACATCCGGAAGTGTGATACTTGCTGCAGAAGATCCAGCAAGGGCTAGCAGGCTCCGCATCGCTCGGCTCGTTTCAGGAGACAAGCCACCTGCTACTGAAGACGACGAGGACTTTAGGGCGAGGATGCGCAACCAAAGCATTGGCAAACTGGGATGCTACTTGGGTTGAGGATCCTGTCGCGCCGAAAGTGTATGAGCCTGTTCAGCCAGGGTCTCGGGGTATGATGCGGCCGGCCCGCCATTTCTGGATCTTTTCTCAGCTGCAGGTCCTTCTCGCACGTGTCCAGAAAAGCTTACGAATATCTGGCGAGGCCAAGGGCGCTGTCTTGGCGCTGGCTGTGCTCCATGACTCCTCATGACTCCGGCAGGTTCAACGAGAAAAACCCGGCCAAGGCGGGAGCGGCTCAGGGCTTCAACGTTCTTTGTTCCGGAAAAGACTCTGTTCGGGCTTTCAGGATGAGGAAGTAGAACGGTCTGTAACTTCTGCAGCCGGACGGGTGACAACGGGTGTTATTGTCTCCGGACATGCACACACTGGAGTGTTCCGGAATGACAAGACTGGGGACCGGGACTGGCCGGGAGGGGGGACGTAGTAAAGATGACTCACGGAGCGCAGTGCAGACCGGCTCGACCACGTTCGACCACATTTCCGACGAATTTCCAAACTTCGACACTGGAGCGAAGTAAGACCGGTGCCATGAGCGAAAATTTGGAATTTTGGTCTTGAAATCTGAGGATGCAATTGGATGGGCACTTGCACACACACACACACACACACACACACACACGCACACACACACACACACACACACACACACGGAGACGGTGGCTGCAAGAGGAAAACTAGCTCTCGGCTACTATGTCCAGGATCCATAACTCCTGAATCCCTTCACCCTTTTTTAAACACCCCCTAACAATAAAACCACATTGGGGCAAATCCTCCCAAAATCATCCCTGCCCTTTCAAACCTATTCTGAATTAGGGGGAGGGTTTCGAGGCTCCAAATACCCTTAGAGCACAGTAAGAGCAAGAGCAAGAAGCAGGAGCAAAAGCCAGCACGGGAGCAAGAGCCAGAGCAGGAGTAAGAGCACGACCCCTCAAAAGTGGCGGTAGACCCCTTATAATAAAAACACTTTCCGAGTTTCTATTGGGGGGCACCCGCCCGTTTAATATCAGGGGGAAGGGGTTGGTAATCATCAGCGTACCTGTGTCAGCCAAATGATGAAAGCTTCCATGTTCTCGGCTTAGCCTGGTTGCCACGCAATCTGGAAAAGGCAGGTACGTGGATCGAGTGGCCTCGACCCATATCAGTCACAAGCAAGGCCCTCTTCGTTTTCTCCAAGGCTTAGCGCACACACACACACACACATTGAGATTCCACATCCTTCGCAATAGGTTTCACAACTCGTTAAAATTGCGAGCTTCTGCTGTAAAGATCAATGTGCATTATTATAGTTGTGCATCTATATGGTACACTGCTTCATGTCAAGGTGAACTTACTACGGTCGTTGCTGGCCTGCACGGCGGGCGGCAGAAATCTTTTGAGGATGCCGCCATAAAAAAAAAGCGCGAACATTGTTTCTTTGTCTTACTCGTCGTTTTCTGCCTTGGCACGTGTGGCCCTGTCTGTGCCAGTGGTGACATAGCACAAGTTGTGATTGCTGTCGGAAGTTGCTTGCTGCTGGCTGCAGCAGGCCATCACATGCTTTCAGGTCATCCGTCGTCGTGTCTTTCCATGTTGTTGCCAGCGTTACAGTGGATGCCAGAGTCATGCTTTTGCTAAGGCGATGAATCTCGTGTTGTTTGAGGATGCAATGATGCACTTGCGCATTGCCAAGTCTGAATCATTTGAACGGTTAGTCACGTTCACACCCCCTCACAGAACCTGAGCTGAGGATGCGCATAAATCGAACCATTCGTCAAAAGCGTGGCAGCGTCGCGGCCTTTGTTGCGACCTTTAAGTTGCTTCTCGTCAGCTGGGTTCCGACAGTGAAAAATGCAAGGCCATGTTGGTTGGAGTCGGCGGCAGTGGCTCGGAACCCAGCAAGCATGGCAGATCAAAAAAATCGTCGAGGTGGTTGGCAATTCGTGCAGCTCAGCCAAACGGCATGTAACCTGCAACATCGTGCCTGTTGGTTTTCATGGACTTCACGTTTAGAGTCTACCGCCCTCCTTCAAGCAATAGTGTGCGAGTTTGGCAGCTGAGGGGGCCCGCGTAGCTGTAATGGTTGAGCGATGGCGTATTCTGATGTAGGCTTCCCCTGTCGCTTTAGTGTGGTGCCCCAGTTCCTGCAGTGCGACTCAGTCAGCTAGGTTGGTAATGTCACGGGCTGGATGTGTGCACATGCCCAAGATGTGAATCTGCTGCATCCGATTGAATGTTGCTGGTCAAGTCACGAAAGTGCTGGACAATTCCCCAAGCAGGAATGCTGAAGCAACCTGCCACTTGCATGTCAACATGCATCGCGGCCTTGCTGCCGACCTCCCACAATATTTGCAAGGAGAGTGGGCTGGACTCTCGTCGTGACGTAGGGTAAATTTGGAATGCTAGCCAGATGCCTCCTTCAGGCATTGCCAGGCCAAAGCAGCACTTTATCGGTGGCCACTCGCAACTCAAGCCAGACCACATACCTCAAGTACTCAGCGCTTGGACTCGGACTCGGACTATCAAATCATATCAAAACCTCGTGCCGAAGAGATTTGACACCGAGCCTCGAATCCGTCGCGTCACGACTAGATTGGGACCGATAAACCATCAGCGGAACCTGGCACAGATGAATTCGCGCGCGGGCAGAGTATCGTGTCTAGAGTCTAGCAACTGGTGTCTTGCAAATGCCAGGAAGACGAGTACCCTACTGTAGGCTCCGGATGTCGCTAGCGGCTAGCGGCTCGATTCGAGTGCGGCTCAGCATGTGACTGAGTCTGAGCATGCAAGACGTCAGCGACTCGTTTGGGTTGTTCCGCAAAGCTACGAGCTAGCATGTGGTCAATCTCCAGGAACCGAACCTGGCGGCCGGAAAATGAATCTGAGACATGAATCGCCAGAGGCACATGAGTCCTGTCAGTTCATGGCGATGCAGCGAGGCTCTTCGGCTGCCTAGGAAGAAGTTGGACAACTCGGCCGACGATCATCCCAAACAAGCCAAGGGCACAAGACGGCGCCATTTGAAGCCAGCTGCTGGCTTCATGGATGTCCGTTCAGAGTTCAACCTGTTGACATCTGGTCCTTCATGAGGCGTAAGGAAAGGGAGTAAGCGAGAGGCTCATAATGACTCTGAAACCCTACTGATCAAGATGCAGGCCAGGAGTGCATGGCAGGAGACTACACCAGGGGTACAGGTGGCAAGCTTGCATAGGCACGACATTCCAAGTCTCTGCTGCTTCTGAGACCCCCATGCTTAGGCAAGCAATCTTTGACCCGCTTGGCTGCATTCATTTCTGGGCACTACTTGTTCCAGATCACGATCACCAAAACGTACAGACGGGGCCTTACTCATAGTCGGTACGCGTGGCTCAGCTCAGGCGGTTCTGGTGTGGCAAGCGCAACATTTCGGTGGATGCTTTACTGCAGTTGGCGCTGAAGGAAGCACATAGCCGCCAATTCCGAGGTGAGATACAGTTCATGGAGGTGCTTCGGACCGTTTGCATAACCCGGCAGCCAGCTATTGATGCTGCGGTTTCACAGGACCTGAAAGAGTTGTACATCATTGCAGGCCAGAAAGATGAGGACGAGCTGCCCATCGCTTTGAGCCAGTTCTGCCTGTGAGCGAATGGTAGCACCTTTTTCCATGGCAGGACGTCACGTTTATCTTCACTGACCAAGATGTAATAAACGAGAACTTCCTGGAGATCATGAATTCCATGTTGGCCACTGGAGAGGCTCATAAAGTACTCAGGAGAAGCATAAAAGGGCCAAGCATGGAAAAGGTGGTGGGCCTTCTGCAAAAAGACGAGAAGGAGACAGCCATCAACGAGGTGACAGCGCCAGATGCTGCTTAGACTGCCTTCGTAGTTTCGCAGGGAGGTGCGGCATGGCAGATCGCAGGCATTTGGCCCAAGCGACTGAGCGATGGCGGTCGGATAAGGCATTTCAGGGATTCGGGATGAGCCTCCCCGCCGTTGAGGCCTCTTTGATCGGGGTGCAATGATCGATCGTGTTCGGTTTGCGCGCTTCACATGCATATCGCCGAAGTAGTTGTTGACAGCGTCTTGGTGGGGAGCATTGCCAGGTGTCCACATCGGCACCCAATGCGCGAACCTGCATTGACGCTATGCTGCGAAGTCTGCAGAGCAATGGGGAACTGTAGACAAGCTGCCTTCGGTGGGTATGGGCGGTTGGGCGTAACATGCAGGAGAGATGGCTATCGCCCATGACAGAAAACGGCTTTCGATCTGGCTGCTGGGCATAAAGATCCGGGCCGTTTCCGGCGGGACTTCTTCTTCGTCTGTCGCGTGCGCATGCCCATCTAGACAAGCCAGTTATAGGACCCTTCTCACTACTTGCCGACTCGGCTCCACTCTTGCCCATTCGCCTTGCTAACTTGTGCCGGCATCTTGTATCGAAGATCCATATCTTTGTGTTATTACAGTTGTTCTTCAGCACTGCGGTGCAATCTCTGATTTGGTGATGCTGTGGACGAATTGATTGCATTCATTTGCCAGACCCCGAACTGGCAGCCGGCAACACAAGTTTCTCGAGAAAGTTGGCATGCATGGCCAAGGAATGCTGACTTTGACCACCACCGCGCTTGGTGGTGGAGTCTTATCCGTTTCTTTCGCACACGGCTTGGCCGTGAGATTGGTCAGTGAGTCGTCCAAGACAACCACACATGTAACCACTCAGCAAGAAAAGGTCATGAACATTTGTGGTGTCGGCTTGGGCTGTTTGATGCTGATGACCGGCGCCCTTCTGGCCTATCTTGGAATGGATGCCTTGATGGACATGACCGGCACCTGGTGCACAGTACCAGTAGATGTCCACCTGCGAAAAGTCGGTACAAAGCCGTGTGAGGAGCAACCGAACAGGCTGCAGCTCCTATGCTGCGCTTTTTTCGCACTGTGCCGGAACCAAAGCAGGCGGGCAGTCACACTCAAAAGACGCAAATTCTCAAGCGGCATCACACTGGCAGTGAGGCCCCATCCTAGATGCGATGCTTTTCATCTACGGCAATGGTGCTTGCGTGGCATTCTTGGGACTGCTGAGAGATCCTGCGACTGACATGGCCAGACTTGGTTAGCACCTGATCAAACAAGGTTGGGTACATGGTCTTCATTGGGGATTTCGTGCCAAACATCATCGCATTAGTTTTCCCAGAGGACTGGGCACAGGACACCAAGGGCAACTCGGCCGCGAGGGCTGCAGTTGCTGTGCCACGCTGTGTATGGTTTGTTGTAAGTAAAGCTCGGGCAACCGCAGGTCCTACGCGGACATGTTCCATCCTTATCGCAGCAGTGCTGGGCTCATCTTCGATGAACCCGCTCACCAGCTACACTGAAATGAAGGCAGCAAGTTCAATAACGTGTTACGAGGTGCTGCTCGTACCGATGATGCTTCCGAACGACTTGTCTAAGCTGAAGTTTCTTCAGCCGGTCTCAATCATGGCGCTATTGTGACTGGGCTCTACCCGGAAAGAAGCGCATGACATGACCAGCCCTCCACGGAATCCAGAACCGGCATACCCCCGTCCATCGCAAAACGGGAGATCGCAAGGTACATGTCCATCGTTGTGACTGTCAAGTGTCCCGGAATGTTCCGTGCCACTTGGGTTGCATGGGGACTGAGACTGATGATACTTCTTCGGAGGTTCAGAACATTTCAGAAATCCTCAGGTTGCTCATGGCCTGAGACAGATGTGGTATTCCAGTTTCTGTGTCCGCGCATGCAAGTTTTGAGCAGGAGCTTCAGTCTTTCATTTTCGGTTTCACTGGAAGCCACCGCTGGTAGGCGAACAGAGAAGCGAACGGACCTCTCAGACTGGCGACGTTCTCGTTGCACTTCTTTGAGGCGAGGCAACATAAGCCAGTGCATCATGCAGCCGGCATTTGCCAGGCATTCGCCTTGTGCGTATTTGCGTTCAACTGCCACTTGAACGTCATTCCGATAGCGGACCGACTTGTCCGACCCACACGCGAACGGATGAAGAAAGTGTCGGCGCGTGTGAACATCTTCCAGTGTGCCTTCTATGTCTTGATCGGCGTGACCGGTCCTTTGGTTCAAAAACCTTCAAAAGAACCGTCAACGCTTCTAAGCATGCAGCTGCCATGGCGCTCAGGCTACCTGTCGTTTCTGAATGCAACTCTCTCGGACATCCTGGAGAACTACAACCCTACGGACTCGGCAGTACGAGGGCAGTCGGTGTGTCTACTGCAATGCCACGGCAGCACATTTCATGTTTCTTGAGATGCAGACATCTTCGCCTTGAAGGACTACTTTGTAGCTGCCGGCCGTTGCTTCCTCACCCTCACAATGATGGCCGCTTGACTGCTGTCAGGGGAGGGCCACGGTGCTTATCCGCAGCCGGCAACGTTAGCTTATATATGTTTTGCTGCAGTAGGATTTCCAAGTGCTAGCGCCCGCAACTGTGAGACCCAAGCCCAAACTCCTGGGAAGAGCCGCGGACAAACCATGCAAATGACAGCCCTCCTACCGGACCTCTCAAACTTGAATCAGAAAGTCGAAAACAGAAGAAGCCCGATCGAGTGGTCCGAGGAGGGGCCTGGGAGGGGGTTTAACGGGGTATCCTTTGCAGACCAAGACGCCTCGGCCTCGGCGGATGTAAACCCAGAGACCCGCTTCGGGACTCGCAGTCAGCCATGCAGGAGGCAAAGAAACATCAACACTGGAAGCCATGCTCGAGTTTCCAACGAGAATGCGTAGATTCGTAGATGTTGTTTCACCTTGTTCAAAAACGCCTTGCAGTATACCCGCGCCTCGACCCCAAACAGCAACTGAGGAGCACTGAAGGCAAAAGCGCAACTTTTTGCGCATGGGCACCGGAGGTGACCATGGCTTTCAACAAAAAGGAAGACCGAATGGTTTTGCCCACATGGCGAAATACCGTTTTATGCACGAAGCAAGTACCAGCACCGGCACTAGAGTGAGTGGCCCATTGCTTTGAACAAACGAGGACCGAATGGTTTTTCCGACATTACCACTGCACCGCTGCATACAACAAAGAAGTACCGGCGCCGGAGAGGACCATCGGAGGCCCCAATGGGTTTTCCGGCATGGCGAAATATGCCGCGGTTCAATCTTCCATGTTGCACTAAAGAACTACTGGTACATCTTCCGCGGAAGGGGGCCGTATGGGGCCGTTGCTTTCAACAAGACGGAGCATCGAATCGATTTAAATATTAGCCAGTTAGCCAGTGCGTTTGAAGCTCAACGATGCTCAGTACCGTTTGGTACACTTCCGGCACCGAACGGGGCCACTGTTTTCAAAAAGCAGGATGAGCAAAGTGTTTTCCGACATGGCGAAATAGTTGCCAATAGAAGCACTTGCTACTGGTAGCACAAATGGAGAGCAAAGAGGAGACGGATGAATGACACATCAAAGCATCCAAGGGTTCATTGTGAAACCAAGAGAGAGTGTGGGGAAGAAATAGGAAGCAGATGAATCCACCAGTCCCACATTGACGTCACAGTTGCAAGGGTCTGCTGATTTCAGAAACAAATCCAGCAAGCGGACACAAAGACGGGCGTCACAGCATCCGGGCTTTGCGCGCAGAGGAAGACACTTGATTCCACGATATGCCACGAATCCAAGACGGGCGTCACCAGACTCTGCTCACTTCTTAAAGGGCGAAGGCAAGGAGACACATGGGAGACAAGTGAATCCACGAATCCGAGACAGCATTCAGGGTTTGCTCACGTCACAAAGGGGAGACCACAGGCAGACAAATGGGAGACAACCTTTAGAGTGCGGGCGCGAAACATCCAAATCAACCTCAGACCAGAACCCCAAGCTAGCGCTGTTTGGGAAAAATACAATTTTTCTGCATGTCCAGGCAACTCTTCTGCGCGTTTTCGTTTGCAAACCAGTCCAAAACACTTTTAACAGCCAACAAGCTGGCTTGAGGCATTGTACAGGCCGTATACATTCCATTTTGTGTTTTTGTCATTCTTTAAATTCAGAGTGAGGTACCCCAATGCAACCAAATGTTCCGCGGCGACACTTCCTCCGGCCAACAGTTTCAGAGAGCATGGCATCGGACTTGCAAGATATGCCATCATTTTATGCATGCATGTTCGCTTCGATTCTATGTCATTCTCCACGACACGTCGTGTCAGCGAACAAAGTCTCACGCATGACACACACTGCGCTGTTTGTCAGCTTGTCCTCTTGCGAGCATTTTCGATTCGAGAAATTCTCCGCGACACTTGAGCCAGCCTTGTTTGAGGGAGTTTAGACGTGCGCGAGACCATTGTTGATTTCCTATTCTATGCTTACTATGTCAGACTCAGAAACCTTTGAGAGTGGAAACAAGCCCAGTAAAGACGGGTGCTTGATTGTTGCTACATGCTCCGTGTCAATGTTTGACAGCCAAAGTGTCACTGAGGATAGTTTCAGGCAGGAAACAAACAACTCTTGACTAAAATGCAAACACAATGAAGCTGAATTGCGTATTCGTTTTCACGCTTCGATACGACTCTGCCTGACACTGCGTGGCTATGTACGTCGTAGTGAGTGGAGGCTTCTGTTTTGAGCCTGTCCACAACACGCCGTAGCTGCGTAGTTCGTGGCAGCATTGGTTTCGAGTCCGTCCGCGACTCTACATACGCCGTAGTTCAACGTACTTAGTGCAAACCTTGTTTACTAGCCTCTCCTCAACTGGCCTAAACACGCCGTATTTAGTCTAAGCCGTGCTTGCGCGCCTGTCATCAGCTGGCTGATCTTGTTTTGGAGCCCGTCCAGAACCTGGCGTTCTGAGCAAATACTGCACGGTCAAATACAGTATGTTTAGCACAAGCCTTGCTTTCCAGCGCGAGAGTAGAGGAGGCTTGTTTTTCCAGAGAGTCGCCATGATGGGACCGGGTCCCTGTGCGGAGTGTGCGGTGTGGTGATCATTTGTGGTCGTGGAAAGTTCTGTGTTTCCAACTGACGGCATACAGGATTGCATTGTTCCATACACCGGCACGTCAAAGTGCAAACGTGGGGCATCCGAGTGAAGCAGTGTCTGCCTTAGAGTGAGGTCTGCCAGGGCAATGTTTCAAGCGTTGCTGTAGGCATGAGGGCTTACAGATGTAAGGGTTTGAGGATCCTGGTGTTTGAAGGCTCAAGGATGTAAGGGTAAGGTTCTTGTTTCGGGTTGTGGCCAACCGTTTGCAGGGAATCCTGTGTCCGTCTTTTTCTGGACCGTGTCCTGCGAAAAGCTGAAGCGGTGAGTGCTGAAATAGCGTAGTTAGACGGTTAAACATGGCTAGTAGACTTGCTGGGCTCTTTGGCCTTTGTGCGCTAACCATGGCAAATTCTGATGCAAACCGCTCCAGGGAAGATGGGTCGGCAGGATCGGGCCCCTATCGTGATCCTTGGAGTCGAAGCCATCTCCCAGGTCGCTATTCCCGCGAATCTGAATCCGACGGTGGCTTGGGCGTGTAGATGTTGCATGTGTCAGGGCATTGCCAGTTCGGGGCAGCCTGCGCAACAGCTTTCGCGCGCTAGAGCTGTTTACAGGAACTCTCAAACTGCTCAGGTGAAATCAGGTGTTCAGCTGAAGGAATACTTCGTGAAATCGGATCCCATGCTGCTAGAGCAACTATTCTGCAGCAAGGTGCTCTTTTCCGCAGACAGGGCCGACAGCGGGGGCGGGGCGGGGGTGGGGATCCTGTTCGGGTCAAGTAAGAAAGGATCCAAGAAAGGGTGTTGGGGAATTGTGGTTCAGCTCGTGAACCTCATGTTCCGAGCACCTACGAAGTATGAGGGCCAAACAAGAAGGAGGCGAGGAAGGAGGGAAGAGGGCTGCAAGGTATTTCCAGCATAACTGAAAATGATGTTCCGAGCATCTAGAGGGGGGGAGGTCTTGTGAAGATCAAGCAAGCGCCTCCCCCTTCTAGTTTGGCCCGAAAAACGGATTCCCACCGCCCTCGTTTGGCAGATAGAAGAACCCCCCCTTCTTGTAGGTGATCGGATCGTCACCTTGAAGTGTGGTCCACATTTCCTTGCGAAACCTGCTTGCATGGACCAAGCAAGAACCCCGCACCGCTTCCCTATCGTAGCTAAGGAGCCCAACCAATGTGGAAGAAGCTCGGGATCAGCCGTGTTTTCGCGACATGGCTGCGGACTAGTGATGGGGAAGGGGAGGAAGTCTTGCAAGAAAATCGTCCATCTCGAGGCATAGCCGTGTCCATTGCCTGTTTGGCTTGCCAAGCTGTGGTTGCTGACGCTTGGCAAGCAAGGACTCCCCATCTTCGCCTGTCACTTTCTAGACCTCCCGCTTACTGCAGACTTTCACAAAGGTCAACGTGCCGAACGTCGGAACCGTTTTGAGCAGCTTGCAGAGATAGCATGCATGGATCGATGGGTTGACGTCTAACTGTTGGAGTACAAAACAAGGCCTCCTGGGAGCTACCGTCGCGACAGAGCCTTGTTTGAAGTTACGCTGGCTTGATTTATTAAAAAGTTGTCGAAGGCCACCTCGGCAATTTTCATGACTGTCCTAACCACACGATGGCCGTAAGTTGTCCCAGGCCATGATGCTGGTCATTCCTGCATACTGCATGGGCATTGTCCTGGAGAATTCCCTGAAGCGTCGAAGCAAACAGGCAGCCCAACACTTGCACTTGTCCCCTTTTGACCTGGGCCTGTTGAGATAGTTTTCGTTGAAAATAGTTGTGACTTAGAGTCACGCTTGGAGGATGATGCACCGGCAGGTCGTTGCAGCATTTCGATATGTACTCCCACTTCGATCTTAAAGGTATTCTTCAGGGAACAGTTGAAAGCGTGACAGCAAAGGCTGCAGTGGATGTCGGCACATCGCAACTCGCGAAACTTACACGCCAAAGTTGACCAGATGTTTGCAAGGGCAAGTGGGCGAATGAACCATGCTCGCAGACCATCCATGTCAATGATGGCCTCTTCGTTCATTGCTGTTACAGTATTAATAAGGATACTCCAACTGCTACTTCTCCTACTTCTGCTGGTACTACTACTACTGCTACTACTACTACTACTACTACTACTGCTACTGCTACTGCTACTGCTACTACTACTACTACTACTACTACGAAGGGATCATCCGATAAAATTGGAACGATGCAAGAGAAGAGTAGCATGGCCCCTGCGCAAGGATGACACGCACAAATCGAGAAGTGTACCAAGTGGGTGACAAACTACTACTACTACTACTACT